ATGTGCACTCTCTACCACGGCATTTTTGGCCAATCCCACGGGTGTAAGGGTGCCGGTTGGGGCTTGTTACGTGGCTTCTGACAGTTGTCGCATTTCCTTACGATTGTGGCCATATCTCTGTCAAGATTAGGCCACCAAACGTGAAGTCGCGCGAGCGACTTCATTCGGACGATACCTGGGTGCCCAGTGTGTAACTCATATAGCCCACGTTCGCGAGGCTGGGTGGGAATTATTACTCGAATTCCCCACAATAAACAACCATCTTCGACTGTAATTTCGTGACGTTTGCTAAAAAAACCCGTAAATAAAAGCTATCCGCCAATCTTTTATCTACCTTCGTCATAGTGGAGAAGTTATCGAAAAATTGCATTTAGTAATCACCTATGGCTATTAAGACCGGTTACCTTGGAAAGAGGAAATTGTATGCTGTTTATTATTGAGACGTACCATTGTTTCCTGAAATCACGCAGCAGATTACTATTCGGGTTAAATGTTTCTGCTGATAAATAGAAAGTAAATAATAAACGAAAAATGTAAGTAAAAGTAAATTTGAAGCGAAAAAAGTCAAACATTATACATCTCAGATGGAGAGTAGTCAAGTTATTATTTCTTTTTTAATTGTTTCCAGATGCCATCTGTTATGTGTATCCAGTCTTTGTGAGTATAAATGGGGTTCGTCTGAGAAATAAGACAGAAAAAACATTTTTCCCTCTGTGAAAAGTTTTGACCTCGGCATTTGAGGTTGACGAAAAAGATTAAGACGGCTCTTTCTAAAATGAAAGGTATTTTTGATAAGTGGCAAACGAGCGGACGTTGCAGCACTTAAATTTTGAAACTAGTAAAACTTCACAAGTCTAACGCAACATTTGTGCAAATTTTTCCAATAATCCAACTATATTGGGTCGTTAAATGTTAGTGAAATTTTAAACCAGGCATTAAAGATTTCTGCGCCAACAACTTTCGTTCAGGGACTCTTAAAATACTCTTTCATACTCCAGCAATGTTCTAGTATAAAACAAATTTCTCTGAGATGGTTAAGAGTGGTAAAAATCTACCAACGTTCGATGAAAAAACATCAAACTACAATGGAACTTAACGTAAGATTGTAATACGTACATGTTATGGAGAGAAGAGAGTTGGAATATAGGATTTTTTTAACTGACATGATTCGTAGTTGTCGAGGCTGTCTGCGTTTTCCATCTTGTATCCAACTTTCTGAGTAGGATACGCTTAAAAATCTACGTTAAAACACCGCTCTATTTCACAAAAATGAGTTCCAATTTTGGGTGGATGGTGAACGTGGCTGTTTTCCTAACTTAGTTTATTTGTTACTTCTTTCTGTATCAGCGAAGACAATGAAATTTATATATTAAATAAGATTGCACTCATAAATGAATCGAACGATGGAAAATGATTGGCAGTTTTCCAATCACGTTTGCCAAATGTCAAGCAAGTCAACACAAGGTACGAAAATGAAACATGCAAAAAAATTCCAGAGCAGCATCAAACCATTTCTGACGCAAATAGTTGTTTTCCGCTTTGCCCAATAAAAGGAATTAGGTCTCTTAGGAATATCATTCCATATTCTTAGGATATCAGACACCCGAACGTTTATAAGTTCTATTGGACGTTTTGATTTAAAACTTTCAAAATTTAGAAGATCAAAATTACATCCAGCGCATTTTTCATTCATTCCTACCAAAAGATGACGAGTGAATAGCAGACGCATCCTCCCTAGGTGTAAACGTATTTAAGAAAGCCATGATAACCTGTTCTCGTTTACTTTTACCATCCTTCTTTAGAACAAAAATGACTTTATCAAGGATTTTCTCATTTGCAGTTTAATTTTGCTAAGCCTTTAAAATGCGTTACCAGTCGTCGACTAAAAGGAAAAAGAAAGTACCGGTGTACCTTTAGTCCCGAAGATTCGACGACGACGTAACCGAAAGGCACATGAATTGGGAAATCAGGAAATCTGGTCTGGTTTCCTTACTCAGAGCGGGTGGCAATGGAACATAACGCTTATATCTGTTGTGCTTAAATTTTCATCTGTGATTCAAATTTTTGGATCGCTGGCTCTGTATGCAATTGGCCGAGTAAGTTGTGCTTTTAGAAAACGCTCCTTTCACCCAATTCAATTCGTGAGCCATGAAAAGTGCTTCATAGGATTCCTACGCGGTTTTCAGCAATAACTTCGATCACTTACATTTTTTCGTGGAAAATGTACTCGAAGCCCTTAAAAGACATTCAAAACAAAAGTTAACCAGAAGAAGGCAGTTTCAAAATTAATGTGACGTTATGATCTATAATATTGTGGACGGGCCATCAAAACTGCTCTGTCATCTATTAGCATACCTGAAGACAAAGAAAAACGATTTGATTGCAACATATGCGAAGGATTGAACGACAATCGTGCACTATCTGAAATTGATATGTGAAAGACGTTGTGCTACAATGTCATTCATTTATTGTTCAAATGTTTGCGTTATTAAACTGGATAGGAAAGGATATTGAATAACAGAAAGTGAACAAAAAATCGTGCACTGCCCAACCCATTATGTTCGTTGAGGACAGTGTGGATTCAAGACCTTTCGTCCGTCAGTTCGGGAACAAGTTTTTGTCGAATACTCTGTTAGTTTAAAAGAAAGAAATATGTTGGCGTTAATTCTGTGTTGCTAACTATATTACTATTTACCATAATTCAGTCCATCCTCGCCGTGGCCAGAGGCCCTCAATGCTGTTTGCCCTTTGCCTTCTACTCAGCTCTTCCCAGCTGACTTCTCTTTCCCCCATCCCTTTTTCAATTTTCAGGTATAAGATTAATAGCAGAAAAAAAAAAAAAACAAGAAAATAAGGGGAAATAATGAGACCATTATTTTTTCTTGATGAAAGCAATTTATTAAAGAGACTATTTGTTGCACTATTGTTAACCTATTGTTACCCTATTTGTTAACCTTTGCTACCCTAATAGTAGCAGTATGCAAGACGCTTGTCATATATGAACTTCGTAATGGACCTCGCCCAACAAAGAGTCTCTGTGTCTCAGTGGTAGAGCATCGGAGCTCGGAATCCGAAAGCTTGAGGTTCGATTTCTCATGGGAACTCGGATTTTTTTCTTTGTCCCACGCTCGTGACAAGACGAAAAAAAACATCTTTCTCTATTTCTTTAGCGAGCTCAAAACCTTACCATCTTTCCTATTCTACTCGTTACCCTGTGGGTGTGTTCCAAATAACTTAGCTCAAAAGGTTTAGGCGTAAGGTGTTTTATGGAGGAGAAACTCAACTTCTTCTTTTATCAGAGGGGGAAAGTTTCTAAAGAAACTGTGGTGCTGTGTAGGTGGTAGAGTATAACAGGGCAATTTAGTATTATCAACTGAGTTGATATCTTAAATTGGCTACCGTAAAGAGTTTTACAACTGACTTTTAGAGCGTTGGCCCTTCGTCAGAGCAAATAACGAAGTACTTACGCTCGAAACGTCAGCCTTAAACTCTCTATGGTGGCGAATTTACCTTATCAACTCAGTTGATAATGCTAAATTACCTAATTACCTCCCTTACTTTCCGCTGAGTATCATTTAATTAGTTGTGGATATGAAAATATTTATGCAGTCCATGGAAAAACAACGAGTACGACGGAAATGACAAAGTATTCTTTGAAATCAATGTAATTTTTGTTTTCCAGCAAGTGTTAGGGGCAGAAAATCTGATCGTTTAAATTCAAAAAGGGCGAATGCTCGCAGAACTGATACCACATTGAGATATTCTAAAGAGGAATATAGAGGTAGAATTGGAATTTATAACTCGCTAGTTTCAGTCTCAAATATTCCATAAACCGGGAAGCCAACCATTTTATGAAAAGGTTCAAGGGGAAAATGAAAATAGACCAGCATATATTCAAGTCCTTTTATTTCATCTCCATATACTCAGGGTGCATATCGTAAAATCACGCAAGTCATTTTTATGAATTCTCGCTTCCAAGCCAGGTCTTCACCAGGACAAGCATTGTTTTGGTTGATCCTTAAATCGAAGAGAGAAACGTCACTAATGGAAATAATTTTTTCCAGGTATCATAATTACATGTATTCACATCGCTTAATCAAGTCGAGGATTTTTATAAATGAATGTAATGAACAGATTTATACAGCGCCAAATTCACTAATTGTCCATGGTGTTCTACATTAAGATTATTGAAAAGCTGAAAGAAAGGGAGAAAAGGAAAAAAAATATATATATATATATGTATACGAATAGACTAATTTAAAAATTATAAGATAATTAAACATATTTATCATCAAAAAAAAAATAAACAGGGTTACGACCTTGTCCAAAAAGATACGTTTTTAAACGTCTTTTAAAACTGTCAATTGAAGAACTAGATCTTATTCCAAGTGGGATCGAGTTTCGTAGTCCTGGTGCCGCCACAGGAAACGTTCTCTCTCCACAGGTCTTTAGTCTTGCTTTCGGGGTCGACAGAGGGTATTGAGAAGAGGACCTTAGTGTCCCTTTAGAGGTGCAATAATTAAGTAAGTCGCATATGTAGCCGGGCACTGCTCCATTGATAGCTTTGTAGATCAGTGAAAAATTTTTATAAAGTATACAGTGACGGACAGGAAGCCAGTGGATCTCCTTTAGCATAGGGGTCATGTGATCAAATTTCCTAGTACGTGTAACAATTCGAGCTGCTGTATTTTAAACGGATTGCAATCTTGAAAGCAGACGCTGAGGTAGACCATATAGCTGTGAGTTGCAGCTATCTAATATTGAAGTAATAAATGCGTGAACAACAATTTTCTTCTTCAATGTAGTTTCTAATTTTGGCGACTACTCAGACATACAAACCATACACTTCAACGCACGTTTTTTCGTACCCATTATCGCCATAACCCCATTTGAACAAGTCCTCAAGTCAGGGGGGTAGACAAATTATCAAAAAGCAGTTGTGGCGATTCGGTTGTGGCCCAAGGCAGGCTGTAAAACTTGCAGTCCCGATAATCTGATAGGAAATCACTCTTTGGGAGAAGAAGATTACGGTTTTTGTCAGTTATCAACATGGCCATTTGGTTGGGAATGAGACGGTTCCAAAGGCATCCCCATTTGGAGTGAAAACTTGACTTTTGTGCATCACAGGTGACGTAACCAGATCTGTACGTTAATTTGAATGTAATGATGTTACCGGCTTTGAAAGTTCTAAAGAAACCATACGAATCATCTCTTGCTCCAAAGCAAACTGTGGATGACGTCATCTGTATCCATCTCACTGTTCATATATGATGAATTGATTTTGAACAAAAGAATGTGAGTTGGGTAGAAAGAATACACAGCTAGAAGCCAGCCACTTAGTCAGACAGATGGATAGGAAAACAGGAGGGACAAAAGGAGATTCAGACATCTGGAAGAGCAGATGGACGAGTGGCTGGCTTAATAAGACTTACAGTTGGATTCATCGAGAGATAACTTAAAGGGTCAGGTAGAGTTTTTCATAAAAGTATTTCACCAAATGAAAAATGCTTTTTTACCTACCGTTTCTTTCCTCGCAATTGGTGCCCTTGTATCCAGGTGGACAAAGGCATCTGTAACCTTTGTCTGTAAATCCTGTCTGACAAGTGCCATTATGTTGGCATGGAGTCTGTCCACAAGTGTTCTTATGTGAAAACGAGGTTTAAAAGCAGATATATGCCAATCGAAGTGGTAAGTTGTAATGGTACTATAAAATGAAAACTGAAACGTCACATGAGATCAAATCAACCGACCAACCAGCCAGGCAACAAATCAACCATACGAACCAATTGGAAACAAACATTGCGCAGCCAGCCAAACAACATGTCAGCGAATCAACTTAACATCGAACACTTACGAGCTAAACAACCTAAGGTTGAGCCAACTTTATATACTAATCTACCAAATGACAAGTAATGTTATTAAAAAATCACCAAACCCAGGATAAACGAAAAGCACAGATAAGAATGTACTCACCATTGTTCCTTTATATATGTAGTTTGTCCAAGACTTGAGATCCTGAGGATGTTCATTGTGTGTGGAATTATTTAGTTCGCATTTTGTGATCACTGAAGATCCGCTGGTCACTAATTCGTTATAACTGACGCAGTTGGGTTCCATGTAGCATAGAGCTGAGCAGAGGTCTTGCACAGGGGATTCTACGGTTCGTATCAAGTGTTTTATGAACCGCTTGCCAGGGAAAGCAAGAAAAGATGTAAATTCCATCTTACGACAGAAATCTTTTGGAAATTGAATCGGATTTCGGAACCAGTTTCGTTTTTGAGGGACTGAGCAAAGCCAATGGAGTAATGAAACTTACGAGTTGTATAACAACATTCCAACATTGATTTTTATAATAAGAAGCCAGTCTGAGTTAGAATATCTGAATTTTTTGTTTTGGCTGCGAGGGCTTTTTGATATCCTTGAGTTATCGGTCTCACTAGTTAGTTCAATTCATGTGGATGAGACATAAATTCCACACTTGCCCTAAACTTTAAACTTTTTCTTAACTACTCGTAGAGAGACTCCCTCAGGCTGATTAGCGTAAAAACAGGAGGAAGAAGAGAAGACCGATGAAGAGTCTTGTTGCCTTTCGATAGCGGGGAGTTTTGTCACCCACTAGTTTCTCCGGTCCTTGCATTGTAACAGAAATAAACGGGAGTCCGTTTTAATTTTAATCATACAGTAGGAAGACCTGCATTTTTTATGCGTGGGCTGCGATTGGCAACTTAGAATTTGGGTTGTTTTAACAACACTAAACAAAAAAAAATGTGTTGTCATTATTTAACAAAAATCAACGCGTCGGCCTTTGGCTGATCGTTCATGTGACATAAAATTTTTTCCAACAATTATCTTAGAATTTTGATAAATAAGTTTAGGCTGGATGGTTTCAAGTCTAGTTAGCTATATGACCTTTATATCTATGGGAAAAACTGAAAATAACGAATATGAAATTGAATGTGCGTCTGACTTAGTTGAACTGTAATGATTTTATATCAGCTCGGAGGAAATAAGAGTATAACTCACCTTCTTCACCCGCAACTTTGATTATCAATAAAGACAACAGGGCGACCAAGAAGTAAATTTTTCTGGAAGAAGCCATGGTAAAGACTAAATTGAGTCACTGCGTAGGATAATCGCTGGTGACTTCTGAAAAGATTTTAATCACTGTTTACTTCTTTTGTATGCAGAGAGTTCTAATCACACATTAAGGAGATGTGGATTTTCTTTGCGACTTGGTGCTTTGCAGGGCTGCGATAGGCTCAGAATTTAGCTTAGGCGGCACTCGATCTGATTAAGGTAAATAACACTCATTGAAAATGTGTCAATTAATATAAGCTCGATCGATTGAACAGCATGCGAAATATTCCGCCACTGAGATAATTGTGAACAGAGTTATTATTGCGCCTCTGGGTTTTAAACATTTTTGACCACATGATGATCGACTAAAGGAACAGGTGTAATTGTTATTCCCAGAAGATCAAAATATATTTTTTTTACCCTTCCTTTGCCGTCACTGAAGCCAGTGGACATGGAATAAAGGATGTGGCTTGAAGTCATTAATGAGGTGTCTGAAAAAGGAGCAGGTTTAAAGCTTGTTCTCCGCACGTCAAGTTTAAATCGAGAAAAAAGTTCCGTGCTTTTGTTGATGCTCTGTTACTAAGATGAGAACGTCATTTTATTTGTGGACACAGAATTCCTAGTCATATACTTTATTTCCAAGTTCTGATAACTTTATCAACCTTCGGTAATTCGAGATTATCAATCGCCTTTGCAGATGAAAAGAAATTGAGAAACAACGTCAGTTACTTCCCCTTTAGTTCATTTCTCTAATCTTAGGAGAAAGTTATCTTTCACAAACAAAGATCTGGTGTTTCATATGAACTATTATTTCGGCATCTATTTTAGAGAATCAATAGCACTCTTTATTCATACAAGAGTGTTACTTGAAGTAAATAAATGTTTTCTTTCTGTTAGCTGTTAATCCTCCTTGACTCTGTTCAAAGCTTTCTACGTGTGAATGAAACGTTTTGGCTCACTTTTGATAGCTTAGAATGCAGTTCTTGCAGTACAGCAGCTTAACTTTGTTGTAACCGCTGGCTAAAGAAAAGAAGGTCAATGGCTCCCATAAAATGTCAAGTGTAAACGAGTGCTAGGTAACTTGAATTATGAAAATATCTAAACTCAGCCATAATTGTGTTAATCAAATACGAACTTTTTGATTTTTCATCAAACCTTTCACTCTGACTGCGCGCCTCTTAAAATGCTATAAGTCGGAAACCCATTATTATCATTAATTATTTTGGGTTATAGATGCACGTAGATCTTCTTCAGCTCAAAAATTATGGAGGATTAAGTCAGTGGAGGCGAGAGTGATATGTTTATCAGTCACATATTTACGCGTGGGTCTTCTCGCAAAGATGTCTGAACGGCTACATAGACTCGTTCATAGACGTACCTTAAAAAAATAAAACAAAACTAAGACAAACAAACAAAAGCCGAAGACGTCGCTGCCAAATTTGTAAAGGTCAGCGCTGGAAATTTACATTTAAAAGAAATATTCTATGGTTCTAATTCTAGATGCCATGCCATGATGTTTTTCGTAAATCGTCTAGTAACACTGGTTAAATGTTTTAATCGTGCCAAAGCGGATCAACCTTGGGACTTCACCATTTCACATTATAGGATGGTCACCAAACTTAAAATATTGGAAGTAATGATTATGATGAGAAATAAAATTTGTTAATTTCGTGATAGGCGTCTACCTCGACAGTAATTCATGAGTCCTCTTTTCACGTGGAGTTATATTCCTCAAAGTCAGTCTGCACCACAGTGGCGCAGATCACAAGTACACAGTGGCTGAAAAAGTTTGTAGATATGGTAGGATCTATAGTTTATACTTTAATCTGATCGGTAGCAACAGCCTATACTTTTGTGTGTAAAGCAGACCTTCCTGTCAACTTCCCCATCTTCCATTGCGGGATTAGCACCACTAAACCCTTTAACCCCAAAGATCTGATCGTTAATTCCTTTTGAATTAGTTTAGAGGGTTTATTTTGGGTATTCTCATTACCTATTTCTTGGATTATAAATGGATTTTGAAGGGAGAAGTAACAGGTTAATTGCCTCTAGGAGTCAAAGGGTTAACCAGCCTGGGTTGGCTTTACCACATTTATAACTATCCACGCAGGTTGTTGGAGTTCTTGTTCCTACAGCTTTCACGAAAAGGTACCAGCCCTCGGAGAGTTGTGTAACACAGAACACTGGACAATTTAGCGGTGTATCGTCAATGGTATTTCTATTGTCGTCACTCTGTTTCATAAAACGGATCAACTTCAAATTTAAGTATTAATTTTATAATGATTGTAATTGTTGCAATTAAGAATTAATGTTTTAGAAGTTTTTTAAATCTGATAGTTTATTATTGCCGGGATATGTTGATAACAAGTCAATTGCATCGTATAATTTTGTCTAAGAGATACCAATTCTTTGAGATTTCTTGAAAAAATCTTTGCTATCAAATAATTGACTAAAAGGAGAATTGATCAACGAACTGTTTCTCTCAGAAATTCGTTGTGATAAATTCAAGATGAAAGCTCATTTAAAAAGCCAATCAAACCTAGATAATATAAGTATATTTAAAAGGTGCTGGAAGGCGATTGATGTATCATGAAGAGGAGACAAGTATCTCAAAAAATCACCTCTCACTTTCTAAAGTTAGGAAATCTCTCCGAAGATTATCGATCATTCCCCCGAAGGAACAGTGGAATCGTTTTTGTTTTACTGACATCTGAAAAGTGAGAATTCATTGTCTCATGTAACCTTAAACTGATTACATGTAGAGAATTTGAATAGCAGGCGATTAGGGGGTTTGCCCTTTGGGAAAGTCATGTAAATTGATAAGTGCAGCAGAGACACGTAAACTTCTGATTACTTAGACGTGCTAATTGTCTTAGGCTCAGTGTCAATTATAACAAAAGCAACCAGAGTAGCAGATCACTTCTTCTCTGTCACCGGTCACATACACACAAATAAGCTTGAAAAGGTTATTAAATCAGGTTTCAAATGGTCGTCATTTCTGACCTCTTTCTTGTGTTGTTTTGTTTTTTGTTAGAAAGGCTTGTATAAGAGCCACCAGCGTAGGCATCATTGAAATTTTACCCATTTCACCCAACACGCTTTCCTACAAGATTTACCTGTTCAGGTATGATTAGGGAATACTATACTCCTACAATTTAAACTATTTTATTAAACAACTTGTAATGATTCTTTCTCAGGAGCTACTCCGATAGGCAATACAGTAATTGTCCTTTAAGCTTACTTGAGCCCACTACATACTATAACTTAGCTCTCTACTGACATCAAAGACTCACTCTTGCTTCAGAATCTTCTCAAAATACGTAATCTTTGAAGAACATCGCAGTACTGAGCAATATTTTGGTAGAGCTTCTAAGATATTCGGTATTTTTCGACAAAAGAACTACTACTCCTAGCTTAGTCTTTATATACATTTACAATGTATTTTAAAACATTCCGTTATTCGAAGCTTACAACACGACTATTTTGATAGAAATAGATCATAACTACCCGAACCAATAGAATGTTTTAGTTTTCTATGCTATGTCATCAGAAAGTTTGAGTATCCATGTTTCAGTGACTAAGAATTCTTTAAATTGTTTTCAAACTCTATCCATAACACACCTAACACGATTTAGAAATCGTTGTAAATGATGACTGAACATAGTAAACAATTGGCTTATAATCACGGGCCGCCGTGACCAATCGTGGAAGGCCTTTCGACAGAATAACAACTACATGTAGAGAAGGCGTGGGTATGAAAAGTTGCTTTAGTTTCTAACGACCTGAGTAAACATCAAGAGCTCAGAGCGTTTAGTAATAAGCAAAATACAATGCTAAAAGTTTTGCCTAAAACTTACTTAGTGAAGCACTCCGATTGGAAGATATAGAGATGATATTAAGATTATTTGGAAGCTCACTAATGCCCATAAATATTGACATTAGCTGAGGCAGGGCTGGGGGGTCTGTTCTAATACTCGGATAAACAACAATTGTTCAGTCGCTTCTGATGATGATTTCCGCTTAGGCTATAGAAACGTCAGTCACTATTACTGACTACCTCGAGTCACAACTTCTCAGGAGTACTCTTCCTAAAAAGATCAAACTACGCGGCCCAAAGGTACTCCTGTCTTCAAACTGCTCACTGTTTAATACTAACCATAAGAATCCTTTCACTGTGCAGAATGACTTGCTCATAGTATTCAGTCTGTGCCACAGTAGCGCGAATCACAAGTAGGTGGCTTTAGTAGTTTGTAAATAAAGTAGGATCCGCAGTCTTTCACATTTATGTTAATTGATGTACTGCAGCAATCTGTACCTCTGGTAAAGCAGACCTTGGAGGAAACCTCACCATCTGCCAATGTGGGGTGATCACCGTTTAGCCAGCCTGAGAAGTCCGCACCACATCTGAAACTCGGTACGCAATGGGTTGGCATTTTTGTTCCTGCATCTCCCACGAAACGATACCATTTCCCGAATATTATGGATGAGGATTCGTCGTCACATTTTGCTCCGCCGTTGGGTGTGTTGTAAGTGCTGTTTCTTTCAGCATCGCTCAGGTTTCTGTAATTATAGCACGGATCGGCTAAAAAGTTGAATTTCGGTTAATGCAATGTTTTATATATTTCTTTATAAATAAGCATAAGGGAAAAAAATTATTGTAAAACTGCGATGTTTTACATGGACTTCCCGCCCTGAGAAGAGCCCGAAAATCCTTGTAAACACGCGTATAATATTTACTATAATTTTTCACTTGTGCTGTTTGATATCGCCAATTAGGTGTATCAGATTAATAAATGAATGGCAAAGCGTTGACCGTTCTCAATCCAGGGTTGCTTGTCGAGATTATCTCAGAATATGGCATGTAAAAAACGAAAAAAAAATCGTTCTTCTAAGAGACAATGTCGCTCAGAATTTCCTAGAAGAGGGAGTAAAACAAAATACGAAGTTATGTACTTGACCTGGGTAATGGTATTTCTCCGGTTGAGAAGGAAAATCAACAATTGGAAGATTTACCACCGGCCGATCGTGGCTGTGTACATGAAAATACTTCTTTTGTCGGTATAGAAAGAGTCAATGACTGAGAATTTAGTCAAAAAGAAACTTCGACTCCCAACGAAGTTGTCCAGGCATATCTCCTCAGTTCGAAGAAAAACTATTTACTACATTACAATTCCACTAAGACACAGAAAACTTTTCCACGAAAAAGTACCCTATTTATTATAAGCATATCTTTCCAATAACATAGCAGAAGAAGGTAAATTTTGTTTATTTAAAACTGACTGATGTCTATTTTCTCAATAAATGTTCTGGACGATAGTGTTTCCTAGTAGCCAATCAAATCGCGCATCTGACATCACCTAAACCGATCAAAATTCGCGTTAAAAAAAAGTCAAGTTGAAACTTGTGGCAAGCGCCAGCACCTTGTGAATGGAACTATTTCAGCTTTGAATTGTGATTAATTTGACAGAAAATATAGAAAGCTAAGTGTTTGCAATATATGACTCCTTGAGGAAAGAACTTCAAGAGGAGGAGTTTGACTAAGTTGAAAATGAGTGTCACTGTAATTTATCGTTTTTTAAATTGAATTGCGCCTTGTAAAGTTTTGCTGGTTAGTACAGTTTTGCTCGAGTCTTTTCCAGTGACCTTGAAAACAACGACTCAAGGAACGTTTGAGTCGATGTCGATTAAAATTACGTGATTTTTCCACATATCATATCATCATATATCCAGCTGTTCCCTACAATCGAGACTTTGTACCTTTCAATCTTTTTTTTTTAATTTTTACTTTAAAAACTTTTGCTTCCAGCTACCGAAAAATGTACCTTGAAATGAGGCGCGTGAAAAATTGCTAGTAGAGGCATAAATGGGGTGAGTTTGGTCCGTCATTTTCTCAAACAAGCGCGGTGACCTGTCCTTCTTTTCATATTTTTCGGAACAGCCATTGGTAGGGAACATTGAAAGAAAAATTTTAAAAATTGTCAGATAACCTTTTTTTTTCTGAGGAATCACCTTGATATGTCAAATCTTAACCGCGGTCAACGTTGATTCTAGCCAATCAGATTATTCTGTTTGATTGCTTACAATCCTTTCGAGACACAGCCTTATAATTATTAAATTTATAAGAACAATTATGCATCATCATAAAAAAAATAATGAATATTGTCATTTTTTCTCTTGGTGCACAAAAGCAATGCACATCAAGTCCACAAATATGATATAAAAAAATCCAGTCTATCTTTCTTTTTCCCTAATGGTTCGTCGAAGGACGTTTCCAAGCCATTTAAAGGCACTAAAAGCTAACGTGATTTGTTTCATGGCCAAACAAGAATAGCCATTCACTCAAAAATATTTACAGCGAGTTCAGCCAGTACCAGCGTTAAAAATTTTTAAGGCACGGATTAAAAGAGACTAACCTTTACAAGTCAAACCATCCCCAATGTATTCAGGATTACAGGCACAACTGTAGGAGCCCTGGGTATTACTGCAGGAGGCGTGCTCATCACAGATGTTCACTTTCGAACACTCGTCGATGTCTGATGAGGATCAAGCGCACCACGTCACAACCCATAATTGTATGTTATGATGAAAAATGTTTTGGTGAATCAAGACATAGAGAATAACTACACAAAATACTGCAAAGCTATTCTCAAATGATGTATGACAAAATAAAATAATACACCATTTCTAATGAGGAGTGAATCATGTAGGAATTAATTTTAGGATAAATATTATACTACTTCTGGTACCATAGGAATTAACCACAATTCAAAGGACGTTTTAGATTACTCTCCGCTTCGAATAGCTGGGATTTAAGGAAACCTATTAAAATCACCTGAGCAAGTTTGTCCATTTCCAGAGTATCCAATGTGGCATGTACATAAATGTGATCCAACGGTGTTGGTACAGTTAGCATTCACATGACAAGCAAGATTTCTTGAGCATTCATCAATATCTGAGAAATGACAGGCTTTCAATCACGATTCTTATTTAAACCTCCTTATTTTGAGCATTGATTGCGATAGTTGTCGTTAATGAGTTGTTGGTCGCTATGTTTTATTAAAGAGAAAGCTGATCAACGAAGATGTTCAGCATTTTGTTCCCTTATGTTTAAGTGGGATTAAGGATTTTCATTTTCTGCCGTTGGTCAATAATGTCAGGCAAGGTTAACTGCTTTATCAAAACAAACAAACAAACACACCCAAACTAAAATTTTACTAAGTCATAACGAGTCAATTACAATCTGAAGGCCTTTACCTGTGCAGTTCCGTCCATCTCCGTTAAATCCAAATAAACAGGTCACACAAAGGATCCATTTGTGTTTTGACAAGTAGCGTTCAGGTGACAATCGTGGGTATTTTTGTGGCATTCATCAATATCTAAAAAAATAGGAAAGAAAAGAAAAATTATACAACGGTAGTGGTTACACGAGTGAGATATACATTCGCTTTATAAAGTCTTATGAGGTGAAAAAGCATTTAGTTAGTTATCATTGCGACAAATAAATTGTTAATTTAGATTAAACCAAAACTTCCACTGCAGTAGAATTTCTCTCTTGGCACCATTTCACACTGAAGCCGGATATCAGTCGTCGAAGATTAGCCTTGGTAACCTTCCTTTAAGATACGCATTCGACGGCCAAACGTGATATATAAATAGGGGTGGTTTGTCTAGGAAATATTTTGTTCTTATCAGCACATTCTGCAATTAACCTTTTTCGCAATGTTCTCCTTCTAATCCAGGAGGGCACAAGCATCGATATCCCTTGATTGTGAAACCAGACTGACAAGTTGCATTATTTCGACACGGTGGGTTTTTACCGCAGGCGTTCTGAAAGGAAAAAAAATAAAAGAAGAAATATGGATGTATTGAATGATTGATAGATAAATGAACGAACTGAAGTTTTGATAATTAATGGTTGTTTTTCACGATTCATCGAAAAGCGTCGAGTTGCTGAATTTAAGTTATACTTTATATTTTACCTTTGAGCCACGATAATAAAAATCGGCATCAGTTATCAGGTCAGTATCATGTTCAAGATGAGTGGCGTTATTCAGTTCACAGATGTAATCGTTTCCTTCATTCTCTGGCTCTTTTTTGAAGTTAGCACTGACGCAGTTGTCATTCATGTATCAGGAAAGCTCACATTGATCCAAGTCTTTGACGTGTTTAGTTTCGATTTTATGTTTTACCAAACGTTTGTCAGAAAAGAAGAAGTAATCTGGAAACATCATTGTGCGATCTCGCTCTGAAATAAAGCAATCAAAATATAGTTAGAAAATAACTTTTTCCTATCATACGGAAATAGACTCACGATTCCAAGTAATAAGCTCACAAAATAACACGCTTGGTGAACAGAGAACTGTGATCTCAATTCAACCATTACCACGGGAAAATGGAGAAAAATTAGGGGGGGGGGCATTGGGGCCTATTAGAAACCATCCAAAATCGAAAAACCGAAAAACGATTCGATGAAAACCGAAAACATCATGCAAAATATTACAACCGATACATTTTCACATCCCAGTTATTAAAACCCTGATCGATCCGATACAGTGGTGACAAGTGGAGCATACAGAGTAAACTATACTAATTTCATGCCATGGACTTGGCATTCGTATCTTCTAGTATCTTTTTAAATTAACAGCTGCCCTCTCGAGGACCTCGAGCGTGAAAATTCGCACTAAAGTTCCCCCACCGCTACACGTAGGCTACCTAGGGATCTCTACGATATTTCAATTGGTTTGTAACGCATTCGTCTCGATAAAATTTGTGTTTAGCTGCTATTCGAGATCAGTGGAGGCACGTAATTGCCGTTCAGATCGGAGAGAAACCGGAACCGAAATAGGTCAAACAGGAAAAACCGAAAACCGCATCGGATATCAAATATTTTTGTGAAAACCGAAAACCAGATGCTAAAAAACGGAAAATACGCAAACCGCAATGAACACCTAAACCGAGAAACCGACGTTTTCTGGAATAAAAACCGAAAAACCGATCTAAAAAATAGCCAAAACCGCAAAACCGAAAATCCCAATGTCCTCCTCCTTCACTTGCGGATTTTTTTCTTTTGAGAAAATAATTATATTTAGGACAATGTTCCATATCTCAATTCCGCGCTCAGAGATTCCTCATGATTTCAGCTAAAACTTCTATTTCGATAATGAAGGTTAACACTTAAAATGTTTGGGAAAAAGACAAATTTGAGTAAAGTTCTTAGTTATTTTTTTGATGTCGCTGTTACTGCTGTTAGATCATAATTTCTGAATATTTTGTATATATAATAGGGCCCTAGATAATTAACTCCAACCTCCCTCCCTCCCAAAAACGTTTAAAACAAAAGTGAAACGACAAAAAAAATTGGCAGTATCGAGGATCACTTGTCTTCTGTGAAGATACAAGGTTTGTAGAGAGCATTTTCGTGATTGTTTCTCCTGAATGATATTATTTTAGGTGAGATTAAACAAAAGCCGTTAATAAAACAGAGTTTCTTACATGAGTTTACACGATCGCCTCTAGTTATTTAGACCGATTATCAAAGAAAGAGAAAATTTATGCTACTTGCCATTAAGACAAGCCATCGTTGTCTGGCATCACGCAGCAGATTCCTACATGGGTTCAAGATGTTTCTATCGATAAATTCAGTATACATTGGAAAATTCAACTTTTCCACGGGGATAGTGAATTCAAATAAACAAAGTCAAACACTATCTTTCTCAAACTTAAAATATCGAAATAATAAAAAATTTAACGGTCGACAAATGCCATCTGTTTTTGAGGTAAGTACCTTAAACTAATCCTTAAACATGTTTGTGCTGATAACTTTCTCTGAGACTCGCAAAATACCCGATTTTAACTTTTGATAGATAAGCTATGTTTATGATGGAATATACAACAAGAAAAATGTAACTATTCTTTACCATATGTCAGCACTGTTCTTATGTAAAAATTATTTCTCTAAGATGGTTAAGAGCGATAAAAATGTGCTTCCGAACGATGCAGAGAGATAAAATTCCCGCCTAAAAAAAACACGGGGAAATTGAACATAACATAGTGTCATGCTTAAATGTTATTGAGAGAGGAGAGATGGGAATGTAACCATTTTCAATGAAGTCTTTCGAATTTACCGAAGTTTTTGTCGTTTTGCATCTAATATACAGTTTTCTGAATAAGAAACAATTAAACATTTTTATTAAATACCATTTAATTTTTCAAATATGAGTTCAAATCATGGGTGGATGCTGAATGTGGATTCTTGACTTAGTCTTTGCTAGTTGTTGTAACTTTAACTCTCTTTGTATCAGCAAAAGAAATAAAGGAGATATATAAATAAGGTTGTACTCATAAGTGAATCGAAGGATAAAAAATGATTCGCCGTCTGCGACTCACCTTTTCCAAAAGTCAAGTTAGTCAATAATGCATTCCAGGCTATGAACATGAAAAATGAAACAAATTCCATGCCTGCTTCAAGGTAACGGTTTTCTGTTTCTACCCCACGCGTATGGCGCAAGTATTAAGTTGATCACAAGCTCCTAGCAGTGGATTAAGCTTCCAAAATTGACCTGTTTTTATGAAAGAAACCATACCATGAAAGTCAATCAAAACATAAAAAAACAATTCAAAATAAAATAAAAAAACTTGGGGCTATCAAGTCTATGTGGAAAGTAATAGAAATGTCGCAGATAGATGTTACCCGCTTCCTTACAAGTTAACGTACTTATTAGACATTGGAATTAGTCCTTAGAACAACATTGTAAAAATTTCGATCTATTTCTTTAGAACGTCTAATTGACGGCAAAAAACCCCCAGGAAAAGCAGATATTTGGACGTGAAGTTCTCTTGGACTTTTTAATTAAATTTGACAGATGAAGCATATTTTCGGCATATTTATCCAGCATTCTTTTTATTCATTCCTATCGAAAGATAAACACCTTGGAAAACTCATCATGCTTTTAATATTTGTCGTATGGCAAGTTTGGTAATAATAGACATTTAATCGAAAGAAAACTCATGATTCCGTTTACGTCCGCTTTCATTTGTCAGTGTTTGGAGTTCAAATACGCAGACGTGTATTTTCATCAAACTTCGCTCCTAAAATTGTCTGAAAGAGTTGATAATCAACCCTAATACAAAGCTCTTTAGCGCACGGATATCTCCCTCCATTAGGTGTTCTTAAACTGCCCATAGAAAAACGAATGTCCATTCAGAAATGTTAGTTTTAGATGTGAAGTGACGACGACTCAACCTCGACAAAAACTTCAGAAGAAATAATATATTCTTATTGAGCCAGAAAAAAATACGATCTTTGACGAGTTGGCTAATTAACATTTACAAGCTGCTGCTTATCCTCGTCTTATATAAAACAAAAATCCCGATGATTTTTGAAACCCTTTATTTATCTGCTAAGTCCAATTACCAAAAGGGCAAGAAAGATTCAAACATAAAGTTTCCAAACTATATCCGATGAATAATCCTTTCTAATACATCAAACATTTTGGACGGAGTTGAAACTTCAGCGACCTTTTGGTAATTTTTGTGGTAAACAGAGTAACATATTGTTTACCAGAACTTTCGTGTTGCATAGAGATAAACATTTAAAGGTTCGGTTAGTAATCCCTGAGTATTGATAATCTGCTTTCGTTGAAAAAAACCCTAAGTTAGTTTGCTTTCAAAATCGTACCATATCCTTATTTGAGAGTGAAGCCAACCTTTTTCTTTTGGTATGTAGAATTAAAGGAGCCGCGGGTAAATATCCTTTCGTAAAGAATATGGATTTTCCAGGGAAAGTATTATTCAAATAACCCATCAATGTTTTCGATATGATCCACTCTTACCTTTCAAGATGCAAAGCTCTTTGGTCCCTTACTGCTTTTGAGGTAAAAGTGCTTTCTTTTATAACAATATGGTAGCTATGGTTACCATAGAAACACCTGGTTTCAAGCCAAAACGATAATTAACTTTAGACAAGAACTCTCGATGCACGAATGGTTTAATTTCTGAAATTGAAAACTGTCCAACAATCTTTAGAACTTATGTATGGACGACCTTTTTTCAACATTCGTTAAATGTTTGTTTTGTATCTGAAGCAAAGAACTTTACTTGAATTCAAGAAAATGTTCCAGTAGAGAATTGTGAAATTGTTTCGAAGACAGTTTTCAGGACATGGGGTTTGCCTCACCTAAGAGGCGTGCATTTTTCAAGGAACTCATTTAGCGTCGCTCTAAAGGCCCTGTTTACTATTCGAGTTGTTATCAGATAGTTGTCTTTTAACTGTCGACTGGTCTTACACGCGTTTTCAATGACATAGAGAATACTTAATTTAGGCAGGCGATAAATTAAATCGTGCTATTTTTGGAAATATGTATCGACCAAACTGTTCGAATAAAGCTTATGTAGACTTATTTTCCACCGATTACGATTCATCTTTCGTTAAATGTGTTTCATTGGCGCCTTGAAACGAAGTAAGTACGTGCATATGTAGAATATGGAATTAACAATCAAGGAAATGCAGATGTTAGAAATGCAGAATATTGTGGTGAAACTTGCAACATTTCCTTTGCGAAGCATCGTGTATGTTATAATCTTCATCCTGAAACTTGCATCTTACCTTTATCAAAGGATAAATCATGATTTGCCTGGTTTTTTTTTATGAAATAATCAGTTCGGGAAGTTAAACGCTGACTGCGATAGCAATACTGCTTCCGTTGAACTAGAACGACTCATTGATAACAACTCAAGGCCACGCAAAAAATAGCATTACATTCGTCGTTTTATAATCGATAACAGAATCCTTGGAATCTTTTAGCCATCACAGCAACATTACGGCATTGATGTTCTTAAAATCATGTACGAACATAGAGCAGCAGGCTCGTAGAACATCAAGGTGGTAAGACATCCAATACATTTTATTCGTACCTTGAATTATGCATTGTCTCTATTTCATTTTCTACGGTCTTCTTAAGGACAGGAATTTGTGAGGAAACGGTTGCTAGATCCTTTTTTCCCTTATAATTCTACTTTTGGTGTGCTATCTTGTAAAATTAGGAAAAAAAAATTATGGGTTCCGTGTAACTTAACCAGCCCACCAAGAAGAATACGGGAAAATGGAGAAAAAAATTAATACTGCCTT